CCAAGGAGCAGCAAAAGGGTGAGGAGAACCCAGAGGCAGCAGCGGAGGAGGACTACGGAGAGAGTATGTGGGGCGCTATTGCGAGCGCGGCATTCTCCAATCCAACTTCGGCTACGGGGGAGTGTGATTGGCTCACCTTGCATCGGCGCATGGGGCATGTGGCCCTGCCCATCTTGCAGCAGCTAGTGAAGAATGAGATGGTTGCTGGCATACGTGTGAAGGGGGAGCCCGATGAGGTGCTTGGCTGCCCGACGTGCATTCAAGCCAAGTTCACCCGGTTTCCGTTCCCTAGTTCGGAGGCAACGGCAAAGGCACCGCTTGATGAGGTGGTGATGGACGTGGTGGGCCCCCTGAAGCTTGGAGCTGCTGGAGCTGAGTATTTTCTCACCATTGTCGACGTCTACACCCGCATGACTTGGGTGTACTGCTGGCCAAGAAGAGCGACGTGGCTGAAACGTTGAAGACGGATTGGTTCCCGATGGTGGAGCGGCAACAAGACCGTCTAGTCAAGTCAATCCGCACCGATCGAGGGGGAGAGTTCCTGAGCAAGGAGTTTGGGTTGTGGCTGAAGAAGAATGGTATTCGGCACTCCCTCACCATGCCATACTCCCCTGCAATGAACGGCATCGCCGAGCGAGCGAACCGCACAATCACGGAGGCGGCACGCGGGTTGCTCATTGAAGCCGGGCTACCCGACTATTTCTGGCCTGATGCGGTGCGGAGCGCGTGTGTGGCCAAGAACAGAGCCTTGACTCATGTGGGAGCAGACAAATGGGTGCCCTATGTGGAGTGGCTATGAAGGAAGCCAAAGGTGGATATGCTTCGGGTGTTCGGGTGCATGTGCATGGCGCTCGTGCCTAAGCATCTTCGGCACAACAAGCTTGGTGCCAAGGCGGTGTGGGCCGTGCACTTGGGCATGGCTCAAAACAGCAAGGGATGGCTTCTTTGGGACCCATTCACCAAGAAGTTCTTGGTGAGCAGGGACTGCAAGTTCATGGAGAACTTCATGTACAAGGATTGGAAGGCGGAGAATGAGGCGAAGATAGGCGTGCGGTTTGGGGAGGTGAAGAGTTCCGGTTTGGAGCATGTGGAGCTGCCTTTGGAGCTGAGCAGCGGCAGCACAACCACAAGGCAATCCTCCCTTGTGAATGGGGGAGAGGAGGCCAATGATGCAGAGGAAGAAGAGGAGGAGGTGCAGCAAGCGAGCGAGCGTGCACCGTCACTCCCTTCCCGTACTACGAGTGCTCCACGGATTCGAGCCACACCGCAGCAACGCCAAGGCCTTCAAGTCCCTGCAGCTGAGGAGGAAGGAAGGGGGAAGAGGAGAGTTCAACCCCCTAATAGGCTGACCTATGATGCGCCGGGAAAGCAGGGCAAGACAGCCCTGGCCGGAGCGGCAATGATGGTCGGAGACGACGAGGAGAGTGACTACGAGGAGTGTGCCTTCGCGTTCTTCTCTCCGGTGGAGATGCCGGGAGAACCAGCAACTCTCAAGGAGGCTTTGGAGAGTAGTGATGCTGAGGAGTGGAAGAAGGCCATGGAGAGTGAGCTGAAGAGCATTGAGGAGAATGACACGTTTGAATTGGTGGAGCTACCGGAGGGGCGTACGGCGATAACGTCCAAGTGGCTCTTCAAAATCAAGTCGGATGCCGACGGCAAGATCGAGCGCTACAAGTCTAGGCTTGTAGCCAAGGGGTACCAGCAGAAGGAGAAGGTGGACTTCAAGGAGCTGTTTGCCCCTGTGGTGAAGCCGACGACGCTGCGAACCCTATTCGCGGGAGCCGCCATCAAAGGATGGGTAGTAAAGCAAATGGACATCGTAACGGCATTCCTTAACGGCATCCTTGAGGAGGAGATTTTTATGGCGCAGCCAGAGGGGTTTGATGATGGTAGTGGCAGAGTGTGGAAGCTGTAGAAGGCCCTCTATGGGCTGAAGCAGGCCCCTAGGCAATGGTACATGAAGCTGCGCGAAGTGTTGGAGGGGATCGGCTTCACTCCCTCAACGGCCGATCACTCCTTGTTCATGCTTGGCGAGGGGGAGCAGAGGAGTTTCATGGTGGTTTATGTGGATGACATCCTCATTTTCTCACCCTCTTCTGACCTTGTGAAGGAGGTGATGCTGAAGCTTCAAGACAAGTTCAAGTGCAAGGCCCTTGGTGACGTGAGCTTCTACCTTGGGCTCCACATCGAACGAGATGTGGAGAAGCGGTGCATGCGGGTGCATCAACGAAAGTACCTGGAGGCATTGGCTGCCAACTTTGGGCAGAGTGAAGGCCATGTGGCTACACCCTTTCCCTCTGGGTTCAAGTGTGTGAAGGGACCAGAGGAGGAGAGCGTTGGTGAAGAGGAGAGGCGCCGATTTCACTCGTTGGTGGGCAGCCTCATGTATGCGGCGGTAAACACCCGACCGGACGTCGCGTTTGCTACCGGGCAGCCGGCTGACATGATGACCAAGAGGCTGGTGGAGCAGCAGCATTGGAAGTGTTGCAAGCTGGCTGGGATGGCTCTGAACTGAGAGAGCAACATATCCTAAGGCCAACAATCCGAGGGGGAGTTTGTTGGTGCAACCCTACGGTTTGCACTCGGCTTGTTGTCCGTGTGCGTGAATGTGTGTGTGTATGGAATGGTATGAGGGCATGGGATAATATATATTTCATGCTTATAATTGTGTGTGAATGTTGAGTCATGATGTCGAGTGTGTGTGTCGAGTCAATAGCGAGTTATCGCTAGACGCGTGTTACGCGGTCGTTTGTGTCTCGCGCGCGGTTTCTATTTTGTCGTGCGCGGTTTCTATTTTGTCCTGTGTCGAACGTTCGGCGTGTCGCAGGTGTGTGCAGCAGACCCATCAAGAACTCAAGGATGAGTTTGTGATGAAGAGCCCGAGCCTTGGTGTCAAGCCTCAAGTGATTTCGAAGCTCGCCAAAAAGGGTACACCTCAAGATATTGAAGATAGTTACATTACTTTGTGTAGTGTAACATTTCACTTGGTGTAGGCCCTAGTGAAGGGTAGTTTCGAGACCCTTCGTGGTTGGGGACAGTGTGGCACTGTTCCACATCACTGTACCTCGGCTCTTGGGGTTTGTAGGAGCTGGGAGTCATTCCCAACTCGTAACTCTTCCTATCTTGTGTTCTAAGACTATAGTGGCTGCCATAGTACCGTTCGTTCAAACCGACGCTGTGTCGTCAATTCTTTATCAAATCGTGCAATCTAAATTGCTAATTGTAGAAGACGTGAAGACGCTCCAGATCCAATTTGAATCAAGTCATTTGCATCTGTGAGCAGAACGCTATCAACGTTTGAAGCCGCTGTGCAGAAATCCGTCTGTGCTCTCTATCTTTCGTTTTAGGCACATTCAAGCCTATTGTGACTATAACAAGTTTCACTAGAGAAGGTTGACAACAATGGTACAATGAAGTTGGCATGGCTAGACTACATCAGAGCTAGCATTCAGGTCGGTCGACTGCCAGCGCAGCATGGACGACCGCGTTCCCGCACGACTTGGTCGACCGCGCTCCAGCAGCGCAAAGTCGACGGCGTGCCAACGTCGCAGGTTGACGGCGTGCCAACATGGCTCCCGCAGAACAGCAGCGCACCCGCTTCGCAGGTGCTTGCAGATGATTGGCGGGCTGAGCCTCGTCACCTGCACAACGCACACACCAAGTCATCCTCGTGCTGACGACTCCACCTGATCCGCCATGTCGACCTCGGGATACCACCACCGAGGTCGGACTCGCCAACTTCGCCTGGGCGACCGTCGCACTCCTCCGCAGAACCTCGTCACCCAGGTAACTTGGTCGACCGGGCAACCACGTCGACCAGCTGCTCCTGTACGTGCCCGTCGACCTCCCAAGTCGACGACCACCCCAAGTCGACCAGCTCCAGGTCGACGTCACTCCTGGTCGACCAGCTCCACGTCGACCAGCACTCCTGGTCGACCAGCTCCATGTCGACCAGTGCAGTTGTCAGCCGACCACCCTAGTCGGCTACCCGAAGTCGGCGTCACCAAGTTGACGCCCAGCTACTCGACGCCCAACTGCTCGGCGTCCTGAGTCGAGGTCGACGTCGGCCCCTCCTTCGTCGACCACCAGGTCAGGTCGACCACCAGCAGGTCGACCAGCAGGCCTGGTCGACCAACCACCAGGTCGACCAGCAGTCCGTCAGCCGACCACCCAAGTCGGCTGCCCCAAGTTGACGTCACCAAGTTGACGTCCTCCGCATGTCGACTTCCCAAGTCGACCTCCCTGAAGTCGGCGCCACCCTGAAGTCGGCGCCCGTGCAGTGGTCCCCGTGCAGGTCAACCTCCTCGTCAACCAGCTCGCCCACTGCTGCAGGTCGGCTGCTCCCCTCACACCCGACCACCAAGTCGGCTCCGCCCAAGCGCGGACGGGGCCAACACACAACTCCCGTTGACACCATCTCTCTACACCCCGTCATGCCCTTCCATCTCTCATCACTCATCCCTTGGCATCTCTCCACCTCAGCAGTCAGAGGCAAGCACACACGCCCCCCGTGCCGCCACCTCCCAGGGAGCTCCCCTGAAGCACCAGTTAGGGAAGCTGCTAGGGAGGGGGAAGGGGTGCTTGGGGGGTGGGGGCAGTGGGGAGGGCAGCAGGGCCAGCGAGGCAGGAGGCGTTGAGGCGGGTGTGGGGGGGAGGGCAGGGGAGGTGAGGGCGGTGGGCGAGTGGGAGTACGCGACGAGTACCGTGAATGAGACGGTGACGCTGATAGACACACCACTGCTGCCTCGTGCTGCTGCGCAGCCCCGACCGCCTGCTCTCCCACCTCCTCCTCATGGTCCGTCCACCCCCTTCTTTTGCTCCTCTGTACCCACAGCCCTTCCCTGCTTTCCCACCCTTCCCACCCTGCCCAACCTGCCCGCCCTTCCCATTTCACGCCGTCGTCTTGTTCTTGCACTCGCCTTCCTCTCCTTCCCAAGCCTCCTTGCTCACTGTCCTGCTGCCAGCACAGCAGGCATGTGCTGCTTGACCCCCGCCTTGCTATGCCTGTCATGCACTCACGGGCTCGCTCTTCCTCCGTTGCATCCCCACCATTCCTCGCCCTCCCTCCCACTCCATGTCCCTCCCACCCACCGCCTGTTGCTCCCCCCCTGCCTACTGCGTGGGTGTGGCATGTGCACATCCACTGTCCATGCGGTAGGGGGTGATGGGCGTGATCATGGGATCCCTCTTCCCTCACTGCCTCTCCACCATACTCACCCTCCCAAACACACAATCTCCATGCATGCATGCGCACATGGCAGGGGGCGATGGGCGTGACCATGGGGTCGCTGTTCATGCACGTGGGGCGTGTCATGGCGGGGCTGCAGAGCCGCTTCGCTGTGCTAGGATTCACCGTCGCCCTCGTCTTCTATAACTCCCTTGACGCCCTGCCGCTCTTCTACCTTATGAGACCCCTCCGATCTGCACATTACTCCTACCTACTCGGATTCACCGTCGCCCTTAACAACTCCCTTCTACAGCTCTCTTGACGCCCTGCCGCTCTTCTACCTCGAGAGACCTCTGCACCTCTTTTGCACGTGCATGCAACTGTGTGTATCCCACACCTATCTAATACAAACCATCCCATCTCCCCACCCAACCCCCTCTCCCCTCTTGCTCCCCCTCCCACCAGAGCGCACCATTCCCCCCAAGACACCTCCCAAACCGCATACCGCACAGTCCCCTTCGTTTCTTTGCAATCGCAGCAGTTGCATCACCCACACTAATCCCACCTTTAAAGCCAAATCCCATGTCCCCACTCCCCCCATCCCCTCCCCCCCCCTTCCACACCAGGAGCAAACCATCTTCACGCGCGAGACCTAAGAGGCGCATACCGCACGGCGCCCTACGTGCGCGCCGCCACGCTCACCACGCTCCTTCTCTTCATCCTCCTCTCGCTCGCCCTTGCCGCGCCGCTCTACTGGATGGTGGGGCCGGCGCCCTCCGCCACCGCCTTTGCCGTGTTCATCGCCATGCTGTGCATGGCCTTTGCTGTGTTCATCACCACGCTGTGCCTGGCCTTTGCCGTGTGTAAGACTATAATTGTTATAATTGTTAGTTCAGTCTAGGTGTTACACTGAATTATGCTGTAGAGGGTATAACCCCCTTAGGGTTTGCTATATGCTCCCGTGTATTGCTTGTTTCTACTCATTCAGTATTCCGTTCACTCGTTGACATGGCATCAGAGCTAGTTTCATTCCTATGGGCCCACCACCGCCCGTCAGTCGTAGCTCGTAAGCGCCTCGTAGCCAGACGCCCCGATGCGCCCCCCAAGCCCCCCGCGGGCCCTTCGTCCGTCCGTAGCGCGCCCCCCCCCCTCCCCTCCCCCCCGTAGGCCTCCCGTTCGTCACTTAGCGCGCCCCCCCCCTGTGGGCCTTCCGTTCGGCGCTCCCACCCCTTCCCCCCCCCCCCCCCCCCCCCCCCCGCCCCTCTTGGGCCTCCCGTTCATCCCTTAGAGCAGCCCCCCCGTGGGCGCTCTCGTCCCTCCCGTAGCGCGGCCCCGCTGGCCCTTGATCGTCACGTAGCGCTGCCCCCCGCGGATTTTTCGTCCGTCCGTAGTGCGCCCCCCCCCCTCCCCCCCCCCCCCCCCCCCCTCCTCTCCGCATGCAATTTTGTCGCGACCTAGGTCCCGCCTCGCCCGTCGCCCGTCGCACGTCGCGCGTCGCCCGTCGTCCGTCGCCTGTCGGCAGCGCGCTGCCCCTCACTCCTCGTCGTTCCCCCCCACCACGGCTCCCTTCCAGAAACAGCATTTCGACGTCCGGGGCCCCTTCCCGATCCGTGGCCCACGTCAAGAGCGCTACTTTCAGATTGTGGTGAACAACTACTCCCGCTATACCACTGTTTTACCTTTGCGACGGAAGGCCGACATGCCTACCGTCCTCTAGCCGTGGCTACTAGCGAGGGGTGACGCCCAGGCCCTTTGTGGGCTCCTCCTGCACTCGGACCGTAGTGGTGAGTTTTCTTCCACTCGCCTGGAGACGTTTTGTCAGGGTCGGGGGATCATCCAGTCTTACACCCTACCAGACTCGCTGCAGCAGAACGGGGTAGCCGAGCGACGCATCGGCCTGGTCATGGAGGTTGCCCGGACCTCCATGTGCCATGCCGGTGCCCCCCAGTTCTGTGGACTCAGGCGGTTCGCTATGCCGCCCACCAGCTGAACCTGTGGCCTAGTGACACACGGCCACGGATGACGTCGGTCTCCCTTTGGACAGGTTCTCCGGGTGTAGCAGCTGACTACCGCGTCTGGGGTTCCCTGGCCCACGTTCGCGCCCCTGGTGCAAACAAGTTCTCTCTGCGAACCTGTGCCTGCATCTTTCTTGGCTTCCCACTTGACACCTCCAGCTGACAGTTCTACGACCCGGTTACCTGTCAGTTCTTCAGTTCCCAGTTCAGTACTTTCGACGATTCGGTCAGTTACTACAGGATTCGACCTCACCGAGGTTCTGATACCTTCTCCTCTCCGCTGTTCCTCACCACTGAGCCCCCCCCAGTCGCCCCAGTAGCCCCCCCCTCTTCGCGTCCTGCCCCGTCAGGTGTGTCGCACGTCACTCTGCGGTCCTCTCCCCTGCAGCGTCTAGTTCCTGTCGTGTCTGGGGGTGCGGGAGGTGCAGCTGCAGTGGGTGTGGGTACTGGGGCTGCTGGAGCCCGTGGTGCCGGCTCTGGGGGTGCAGGAAGTGTGAGAGTGGAGACCACTCCTGAGGAGAACACGCCTGTCTCGACTCAGCGGCCTCGCCCTGCCTCGCCCCCTGGCTTCCCGCCTGTTCCGCAGTTCCCTCCTTGTTCGCCTCTGCGGCCGGTCGCTGCGGAGCCTGGGGGTGTTCCTGTCGGAGTCACTAGAGTTCCTGGGGGTGATGTCGGTGGAGGTTTTGGTTCTGGGGGTGCTGGAGCCGGAGACACGGGCACTGCAACGCCTACACCACTCACTGTACATTTCCTCACCTGTGTGCAGCGTTTAGACAGGTTGGAGAGGGAGGAGCGGGGGCGGTTTTAGAGGGCACAGCAGCAGCAGCAGCAGTCTCAGTAGGAGCGGCACGAGAGAGAGTAGAGGAGGAGTCCCGGCTGTCGCAGCAGGTACAGTTGCGACCGCAGCAGGAGAGGGTAGAGGAGTTACGGCCGCAGCAGCAGGTTCAGTTGCAGCCACACCAGGAGAGAGTAGAGGAGGAGTTCCGGCCGCAGCAGCAGGTGCAGTTGCGACCGCATCAGCAGGTGCAGTTGCGACCGCAGCAGCAGGTGCAGTGGCGACCGCAGCAGGAGAGCGTAGAGGAGTTACGCCCGCAGCAGTAGGTGTAGTTGCAGCCACGCCAGGAGAGAGTAGAGGAGTCTTGGCCGCAAAGCAGGTGCAGTGGCCTCCGCAGCAGGAGAGGGAAAGGAGTTACGGCCACAGCATCAGGTGCAACTGCAGCTGCAGCAAGAGAGGTTCGAGGAGGAGTCACAGCCGCAGCAGCAGGTGCAGTTGCAGCCGCCGCAGGAGAGAGTAGAGGAGGAGCCACACCTGGAGCAGGAGGAGCAGCAGCAGGGGCAGGCGCCGCCGCAGCAGACGTCGGAGGAGGCGGGCAGCAGCGACTGAGAGACCTGCCCGACCCGGCACCTGCACGCCTGGTCCGTGAAGGAGGAACTGCAGAGGAGACACACTTGCACTGACCTTGGTGAGCTGCAGCGCTACCTTGGCCTGCAGGTCACTAGGGACAGGCAGCTCACACCATTACACTGACGCTGTCACATATGGTCGAGCAGATCCTTACGCGGTTCCTCTTCCCGTTCTCCAAGGTACAACCCACCCCTCTTTCTGTGGACCATGGGCTCACGTCTCCACCTTCGGACGAGCCATTTGGGTCTAGTGGTCCATATCCTGAGCTGGTGGGTTGTCTCATGTACCTGATGACCTGTACTCGCCCAGACCTAGCTTACCCTCGTAGCGTCCTTGCGCACTTTGTTGCGCCTGGGAGACACCGACCTTGATACGCTGCTAAGTATGTGACAAGTACATCAGGCATGGAACTTGTCCTTGGAGGGAAGCTGCCAGTTACACTTACAGGTTTCTCGGACTCATCGTGGGCCGACGACGCAGAGTCGTTGCGATCTACACAGGGTTACTGCTTCAGCCTTGGGACTTGAGCTGTTTCGTGGAGGTCGACTCGGGCGTCGTTTGTCTGCAGTTCCAGCTGTGAGGCCGAGGTGTACGCTGCGGCCATGGCCGCCCAGGAGCTTCGCTGGCTGTCTTTCCTCCTCACCGACCTTGGTGAGCGGCCTTGCGCTCCCCCAGTCTTGTTCGCCGACAACATGTCTGCTATCCTGTTGTGCGAGGAGCCCCGGCTGGTTGGGAAGGCGAAGCACATCCAGCTTCATTACTTTCTTCTGCGAGAGTTTCAGCAGCGTGGTCAGGCACTCGTGCGACTTGTGGTCACTAAGGCCAACACTGCAAATATCTTCACCAAGGCGATGCCGCCTTGTGACCACCAGCGTTTTTTCACCCAGCTTGGCCCTGTGTTTACAGACCCTCACTCGCTTGTGTAGAGATGTTTTGTCTTGTACTCTTGCATCTCATTAAATATACTATATCTGTGCTTGTGGACAGGCCTTGTGGCCCTTTGCTTCTGTAGAAATGCTTGTCATGCATGTTTGTACTCTTGCATCTCGTATATCTGCTATATACTTGCATGTGGACTGGCCTTGTGGCCTCTTGCTTGTTCTCGGACTGTGTGGTGATCTTGAGATCCACCCCAAGAGTTGCTTTGTTCTTATGAACTGGTCTTGTGATCGTTGCTTGTTCTTGCTGACTGGTCCTGTGACCCTTGATCTTGGGTTGTGTGTTGCTTTTCACAGGATTACCGTTACCTAGACTATGGGGGTGTGTCAAACAATAATTGTTATAGTTTGTTAGTTTAGTCTATGTGTTACACTGAGTTATGCTGTAGAGGGTATAACTCCCTTAGGGTTTGCTATATGCTCCCTTGTACTGTTTGTTTCTACTAATTTAGTATCCTGTTCACTCGTTGACACCGTGTTCATCGCCACACTGTGCATGGCCTTTGCCGTGTTCATCGCCACGCTGTTCTTGGCCTTTGTTGTGCTCATCGCCACGCTATGCCTGGCCTTTGCGGTGGTGAACGCATTTGTGACGCTGCTGTCGATGCTACTGCTATCGCACATGGTGCCTGCCACCATCGCCAGCAGCGCCTTCTCCTTCTTCCTCCTCTTCACCGCATTCTTCTTCTCCGAGTCAACCTCCTCCCCTCACCACCTCTTGACTCATCGTCTCCCTCCTAGCCGTCTCTCTCTTGCACTCTCACTGCTGCCCTCCCTCTGCTGCCCTCGCACTACTACCCTCTCATCGCTGCCTGCTCACTGCCTATTTTTTACATCCACTTCCCTGGTGCTCATCTTCACTTGCACATCCTTGCCATTCCTGCCCTCCCTGCCCCCCCTCCTCCTCCCCCCCCCCCCCCCCCCCCCCCCCCCCCGCCCCCCCGCCCAGGGCGGCCATCCCAGGGTACTGGCTGTGGCTCTACTACCTCAGTCTTATGCGCTACCCCATGCACTTCTCCTCAACTACCCCCGAACATGCTTTCATCCCCGCCCTTCCCCCCCCAGGTCAGCCATACCAGCGTACTGGCTGTGGCTGTACTACCTGAGTCTCATGCGCTATCCCATGGCGGTGATAATGTGGGCCGAGTTCCACCACGGCCTCGGCCCCACCTGCTTCTTCACCTTCTCCTCCGCCGCCGGCGTCGGGTACACCGCATCCGCCACCAACGCCACCAGGACGTGATCTATCACACCCCACCACACCACACCACACCCCACCCCACCCCACCACACCACACCACACCCCACCCCACCCCTACTCAATGAGTGTGGTGTGGTGCCAAAAGGGCCACGCCGCCCCCACTAGCAAGTGACGACTCTCCGCTTACCTCTGCCCTGTGCTTCTGCCAGTGTATTCACCCTGATTCTTGTGCTGGCAAGCCATTATATGTATGCAGATCATGCAAATAGTTTATGGAGTGTACCTGGTGTGATAGGATGATGTATCTGTATAGCACGCTATATTAAATTCCAACTTCAAATTGTTAGCAAGACATACCAAATCACCTCTCAATTCTTCAAGTGGAGTCGCTGTTTTAGCACATATGCTCTCCACGCACGAGTCAGCTATTTCCTCCACCCACGTTGAGCTGACTCGTGCGTTGAGCGAAATTCGAGTATTTTTTTGAAAAAGATCATATTGGGGCCGAACTTTAGCAGGGAGGTCAAATTAGGGCCGGATAGCCGAACCTGGAATTTTGGAGCTAATAACCGACCTTCCCATGATCGCGTATGCGATTTCACTTGTCAGAGGTTCTGACCATCCCGCGCGTCGTAACCGATGGAGCGAAAACTGTACCTTTTATGTCGAAATAACTCAGGTTTTTCCACTCGTTTGCGCTACCAAGCACTAAATGACGCTACCAGGAACTGTTAAGGAAGGGCAGAAAAATAAAACCCCTGTGGAACCTGGACGCATTTTCGGGAGGGATCAACCCTAGACACGGGAACCCGGCTGAAGTTTAGGGTTGATGCCTTTCCGATTGGGTTTTTTTGTTAGAATCTAGAATAGAACGAGGATCGATGAAACTAGGTAGGAGGGGGATACAAGTAGGAAACCCTAACAAAGCTGTACCCCCTAAGGCTAAACCCACTATAGCCTACACAATATAAACATATAATGTTTGACACACCCCCATAGGCTAAGTGGGAGACAACCAGATGGTCACAAGACCAGTCAAAGCAAAGCAAAGCAAGCTCAGGGTGGATCTCAAGGAAACCACACAAATTCTGAGCACAAGCAAGTGGTCACAAGACCAGTTCACATGCAGGTTGATAGTATAACAAGAGATACAGTGATCACAACCTAGCAAGAGTAAACAAGCAGGTATATATATAGAGATCACAGTACAAGCAGAGTCAAGAAGTAAGCAAGTGAGGCCCAGTAGGCACGAGGCCTAGAACAGTACAGAAGCGCTGATGGTCACAAGGCTGAAGCGCCTTGGTGAACACATCAGCAGTGTTGGCCCGAGTGGCCACGTAACGCAGACGAAGCTGACCGCGCTGCTGCAGCTCTCGAGCAAGGAAGTAGCGCAGAGCGATATGCTTCGTTCTGTGCTCCAGTCTGTGCTCCTCACACAAGGCAATGGCAGCCTTGTTGTCGACGTACAACACTGGAGGAGAACGAGGCCGCTCTCCCAAGTCGGTCAGCAGGTAGGTGAGCCAGCGTAACTCCTGTGCAGCCATGGCTGTGGCGTAGATCTCAGCCTCACAACTGGAGCTGAGAACAGAAGACGAGCGTGTAGAACGCCAAGAAACTGAACCAGAGCCAAGGCTGAAGGTGTAACCCTGAGACGACCGCTGAGTAGCCTGGTCGTCAGCCCAAGACGCGTCTGAGTGCCCAGTGAGTACAACTCGGTCTCGTCCTCCAAGCACTAGCCCCATGCCCGACGTACTGCACAAGTAGCGCAACACCCTCTTAGCGGCATCCATGTGCTCCTTCCGGTGACGGCCAGGAGCGACATAGCGTGCAAGGATGCTAAGAGGGTATGCAAGGTCAGGTCGAGTGCAGGTCATCAGGTACATGAGGCAGCCCACAAGCTCTGGATACGGGCCACTCGGCTCTACGGACTCATCCGAAGGCAGAGCTGAGAGCGAGTGACCGGTAGGCAGAGGAGTGGGCTGAGGCGAGGAGTACGTGAAGCGGAAGCGCTGAAGGACCTGCTGCACCATGTGTGACTGAGTCAAGGTGATGGTGCGCCGTGCTCTGTCCCGGGTGATCCGCAAGCCAAGATAGCTTGTCAGTTCACCCAGGTCTGTGCACGTGTGTCTCTTCTGCAGCTCCGACTTCACGTGGGCGAGTGCCGCAGTGTCTGCAGTGGCAAAGACCAAGTCGTCGACGTACACGAGGATGTAGAACGGCGGCAGCGAGGTGTCGGTGCGTAGAAACAGCGACGGGTCAGCAGTAGAAGGAGCGAACCCAAGAGCCGCAAGTGTAGTCCTCAGTGTGTCGTGCCACTCACGTGGTGCCTGTCGGAGACCGTAGACTGGCCGCCGGAGGCTCCACTGGGTACCAGGAGGGAACGACCCAGTGAAGCCAGGTGGGCGGCGCAGCCAGATCTCCTCGTGCAGGCTGCCCTGTAGGAAAGCAGTGCTGAAGTCAAGAGAGTGGAGCTCGTAGTCACGCTGAGCGGCGACGTGCAGCAGAACCCGAAGAGTGGTCATCTTCGGGGTCGGGGAGAAGGTCTGGAAGAAGTCAACTCCCTCTCGCTGACTGAAGCCTCGTGCAACGTAACGCGCCTTGAAGACAGGCGGAGAACCCGGCGGCCGCTTCACCCTGAAAATCCACATGCCACTGACGATGTTCGCCCCAGGTGGGGGAACCTCGTCGACGTAGGTGCCTGTGGACTTCCAGGAAGCCATCTCTGCGTCCATGGCTGTCTGCCACTGAGAGGAGTAGGGACCCTCTATCGCCTCTGCGTAAGAGCGCGGAGTCGGGATGTCTGGTGCATCCGGGTCTCCCTCAGGGGCAACTAGCAAGGACACGAGATGAGGTAAAGCAGCGGCAAAGCACTCAAACTCCTCCTGCCTGTCCTCAAGGACGTCCGTGCCAAGATCACACTCACCCCCGACGGACGGAGGACAGACAGACTCAGACTCATCAACTAGGCTAGCGGCGTAGTCTAGACGACAAGTGGCAGCAAAGTCGACAAGCTCGGCAACTAAGGCAGACGCAGCAGTGGACTCAAAGGAAGGGTCAGTGACAACAGTAGCCAGGAGACGCGTGACAGTAGGACTGGCAGCATGAAGGGAGTCAGACTCAGGGTCAGCAAGAGCAGGAAGAGAGGACGCAGGAGGAGACTGGAGAGGGACACGCTGGGGAGCAGTGGAAGGACGAAGCGCCATCTGGTGAGTGCCTGGGACAGCAGGAGGACGCTGACGCGGGACACGACGACCAGTGTGAGCAGCACGAACAGGCGACGCTCGACGAGACTCAGGCGACGCAGGACGAGACTCAGGCTCACGACGCTCCGTAAGACCTCCAGTCGGACCAGTGTAAGGAGAAGGACCAGGGATGAGGAGGCAGACGGTAACTGTGACTGCGACTGGACAGACGGAGGACACTCTAAGGAGGGAGGAGGACAAGGAGGAGGAGGCTGACCAAGAACCTGCTGAAGGAGCGGAACGAAGTACGGCCGCGGCCGCGCAGCGTCTCCAGAACCAGCAGAGACACCAGCGCCAGGGTCCTCAGCACCAGCAGCAGCTCCACCTCCAGGGTCCTCAGCACCAGCAGCAGCTCCAACTCCAGGGTCCGCAGCACCAGCAGCAACTCCAACGCCCGGGTCCGCAGCACCAGCAGCAGCTCCAACGCCCGGGTCCTCAGCACCAGCAGCAGCTCCAACTCCAGGGTCTGCAGCACCAGCAGCACCTCCAGAAGAAGCAGCACCTCCAGCAGCTCCAGCAGCCCAAGCACCAGCAGCACCTCCAGCAGCTCCAGCAGCACAAGCAGCACCACCAGCACCAGCAGCACCTCCAGCAGCGTCAGCAGCACCAGCAGCTCCAGCACCAGCAGTACCTCCAGCAGCGCCAGAAGCACCGCCAGCAGCAGAACCTCCAGCAGCTGGGTCCGCGACACTAGGAGCGCCACTCCGAAGACTGCAGCGCCGTGCGTACCACTCTCGGAGCCGCTGGGGAGAGGGCAGCTCCCGCCTAGGAGGGGAAGCACTAGCACCAGCTCTAGCAGTACTCCTGGCTCCAGAAGCACCTCTCCTGAGGCTGCAGTACTGTAAGTACCACTCACGCAGCTGCTGTGAGGAGAGAGCTCCTCCAGATGTAGCACTCCCAGGCTCAGTACCTCCAGACTCAGCACCCCCAGACTCAGCACCCGCAGGCTCCGCACCCCCAGGCTCAGCACCCCCAGGCTCAGCACCCCCAGACTCCTCAACCCCAGGCTCCGCACCCCCAGGCTCCGCACCCCCAGGCTCCGCACGCTCAGGCTCAGCACCCTCAGGCTCAGCACCCCTAGCAGGACGAGAGTCGACAGCTACCTCGACAGGCTCAACCGGGTCTACCTGGGACACACCTGAGGGAGCGGCACCCTGAGGGGGGAGGGGGTCTACCACAGCAGCACCTGGCGCGAGGAAGAGAGGCGGGGGGGGAAGCGAGGCAGTGCGGTAGGGGAAGAGGCGGTAGTAGGGGACGGACTCGTCGAAAGTGACGTCCTGAGAAGGCAGGACACGGCGCGAGGTGGGGTGGTAAAACTGCCAACCAGACGCGTCCGGGACAAAGCCAAGGAAGACACAAGGAACAGCGCGGGAGGAGAGCTTGTCCACGGACGTATCGCGAACAAAGGCTCGAGATCCCCAGACCCGAAAGCGTGACGCATCGCCAACCTCTCCTGTCCAACGCAGTGTCGGCGAAGTCTCCGGAACGGAGACACGGGGCCAGAGGTTGAGCTGATGCGCAGCGTATCGTACTGCAAACGGCCACAGAAAGTGGGGGGCAGCCGCATGGATCAAGGAGGTACGAGCGACCTCCATGACCAAGCCAATGCGGCGCTCAGCAACCCCATTCTGCTGTGGAGAGGCCGGAAGCGTGAACGACTGGCGGATGCCGTGCTCCGCACAGTAGGCTGCCAAGAGGTCGGAGGAGAACTCACCACCTCTGTCAGAGTGCAAGCGCAGGACAGGAAAGTCCGAGTGGAAACGCTCGCTGAGCTAGAGACGAGAAGCGCTGATCCAAGGGATCAAAACATCAGGGACCTCACCCTTGGTGCGCAAGGGGAAGACCGTGGTGTAGCGCGAGTAGTCGTCAACAACTATCAGGAAGTACCTCTCCTGACCCTGACCACGGACGCGGGCTGGGCCCCACACGTCTATGTGGAGCGTCTGCAAGGGAGCAGTCGTCGGGGGAAACGAGGAGGAGTGAGGAGCGGCGCGCTGCCGCCCCTCGACACAGGGAAGACAGGGAGGAGCAGGCGAGGGTGGGAGGGGAGGGAGAACCCTGGGAAGACCAGAGACAAGGTACCGTTTGTGCATGGCACGAAGGCGCTGCACGGACGGGTGACCAAGTCGGTGGTGCCAGAGGACGGTCTCGTGCGCCAGAGAGCGACACGAGCAGGGGGCCGACAGCTGACCTGACGCAGACGCAGACGCAGCTACCTGAGGGGACTCAGTGGTCAGTGTGTACAGGTCCGACCCCGGCTGCCGAGTGAAGGTAGCCAGGTGACGGCCCGTCCGAGCACACGTGCAGTGTGTCACGCGCTCGTAGGCAGGGGTGAACTGGTGAACACCCCCGTCCTGGAGCGCACAACCCGCCACCAAGTTCGTAGAGAACGAGGGGAGGTGGAGACCTGACAGTGTGCCCGACGGAACCGCAGGACAAGGAAGGACAGTGGAGGAGGTCGCAATGACCGGACCCCCAGAGGGGTCAGCGAGGGAGACAGCAACTGGCCGAGCAAGCGGCTCAAGGGCAGTGCGGTCACGAAAGAAACAGCGAGAAGCACCTGAGTCCAGAGTGAAGGTGTGCAGTGCCTCAGTCGACTCAGTACCAGGGGGCGCAGACTCACTAGCACCTAGAGCAGCAGCCTCACCAGCACCTGGGGTAGCAGACACGCAAGTACCGGGAGTGGTAGCATCACCAGCACCTAGGGCAACAGACGCACTAGCACCTAGAGCGGCAGCCTCACTCACAGGACACGGCAGCTGCACCTGTCCACTACCAGAAGCTCCCGAACGACGCACTCCAGAGCGACTACCACTACGGCCACCCCGACATCCCCAACTGGCGTACCACTCACGAAGCTGCTGGGGCGAAAGAGGACACGGCAGCTGCACCTGTCCACTATCAGAAGCTCCCGACCGACCCACTCTAGAGCGACTACCACTACGGCCACCCCGACAGCCCCAACTAGCGTACCACGCACGAAGCTGCTGGGGCGAAAGAGGACACGGCAGCTGCACCTGTCCACTACCAGAAGCTCCCGACCGACCCACTCCAGAGCGACTACCACTACAGCCACCCCGACAGCCCCAACTAGCGTACCACTCACGAAGCTGCTGGGGCGTGAGGGACTCACGCGCACGGCCCTGGAGCTGCATCTGGCCACGCCAGAAGCAGCAGTAGCAGCAGTAGCGGCAGTAACAGCAGGAGCAGTAGCAGTGGGAGTAGAAAAGGCAGTAGCAGCAGTAGCAGCGGTAGCAGTGCTGGCAGGGCAATGCTCACCAGTGGTCGGCGCGGCAGGCGCAAGACGGTGGCGACAGCGGGGCCGCTACAACTGCAGGGCGGGGCCGGGCCGCAGCAGGGAGCTCCGCGGCAGCTGCTGCAGGGCGAGGCCGGGCCGCGACGGCAGCTGCTCCAGGTGCCAGGGGCGGCTGCTGCAGTGGCGGCTGCTCCAGGGGCCAGGGGCGGCTGCTGCAGCGGTGGTTGCTCCAGGGGCCAGGGGCGGCTGCTGCAGGGGCGGCTGCTCCAGGGGCGAGGGGCGGCTCCTGCAGTGGCGGCTGCTCCAGTGGCCAGGGGCGGCTGCTGCAGGGGCGGCTGCTCCAGAGGCCAGGCGCGGATTAGGTCAGGGCGACGCGGCGAGCAGGGCGACGCGGCGGGCAGGTGGCGACGCCGCGGGCAGGGCGACGTGGCGGGCAGGTGACGACGCCGCGGGCAGGGCGACGTGGCGAGCAGGTGACGACGCCGCGAGCAGGGCGACGCGGCGGGCAGGGCGACGCGGCGAGCAGGTGACGACGCCGCGAGCAGGGCGACGCCGCGAGCAGGTGGCGACGCCGCGGGCAGGGCGACGCGGCGAGCAGGTGACGACGCCGCGGGCAGGCGACGACGCCGCGGGCAGGCGACGACGCCGCGGGCAGGCGACGACGTCGCGGGCAGGGGCTACGTCGCGGGTAGGCGACGACGCCGCAGGCAGGCGACGACGCCGCGGGCAGGCGACGACGCCTCGGGCAGGCGACGACGACGCGGGCAGGGGCTACGTCGCGGGCAGGTGACGACGCCGCGGGCAGGCGGCGACGCCGCGGGCAGGGCGACGCGGCGGGCGGCGAGAGCCTGCAGGGGGGGCGCGCGGTCGGGCAGAGGCTGCGCGCGGGCCTGACGAGTCTGCAGGGGCGGCTCTCGGGCCTGACGGGCCTGCAGAGGCGGCTCGGGGGGGGCCTGACGGGTCTGCAGAGGCGGCTCGGGGGCCTGACGGACCTGCAGGGGCGGCTCGAGGGCGCACGAGGGCGCTCGAGGGCGCACGAGGGCGCACGAGGGCGCACGAGGGCGCACGAGGGCGCACGAGGGCGCACGAGGGCGCACGAGGGCGCACGAAGGCGCACGAAGGCGCACTAGCAGAGAAAGGCGCACGAGGGCGCACGTAAGGTAGGACGCACGAGGGCGCTTCTAGCGGAATAGTGGGCCCATAGTAGAAAGCGGTCCTAGGTAGCAACCTAGGCTCTGATACCATGTTAGAATCTAGAATAGAACGAGGATCGATGAAACTAGGTAGGAGGGGGATACAAGTAGGAAACCCTAACAAAGCTGTACCCCCTAAGGCTAAACCCACTATAGCCTACACAATATAAACATATAATGTTTGACATTTTTTCTTTCTTTCTTGGGTCAGGTGAAGTGATGTATTTTTTCAGGAAAACAATCATGTACTTCTGTTTTAAAATATATAAACACGACGAAACCATCCCAAGAGGAATACGACGTGAGCTTCGTAATAGGCGGCGATCTTAATCTAAAACAAGAAATTGAACCAATAAAGTCGAGATTTAGTAGTTTCCTTTAAATCTTGGTTCGAAACCTTGGCCCTGCCACCTGGCACCTGGTCACGCCCGATGATATACCCCACGGTTGGGATTAAAGCCCGCGGCCCAAGTTGCGGACCGCGCAGGTCAAGATTACTAATCTTGGCCGCTGACAATCGGAAACTTGGCCATGGCAACTTGGGACTTCGGCAACCAAATCCGAAGTCCCCTCTTTCAAAGTGCTGCGAAGGGTAGGGCGAAATCGTAACAACCCTCGCCCAACAACCCCGTCAATATTTGTGCACTTTTCCCGGCCCTAATTTGGTCACTTCCCTACTAATATTCGGCCCCAGTTTGATATTTTCCCGTAAAATTTTCAATCGAGTCTCGTTCCTTGCCAAGCCCGAACCAAACAGTTCGACAAGGAAATCAGACGGCTCGACAAGTAATCCAAACGGCCCGACAAGCTGTAAACCTCTGTCTGAGCCAATCAGAGCCGAAGTCAGCGACCGAGGTGCGGTACCGTACCTAAATCGCAAATTGCTGCAGAGTTGACTAGTCGTCGATCTGTAGACAAGGAGAAGCTACAAATGGTCGTCGAGCGCGGAGACTTCCAACCAATCACCTGCATTCTCTTCAACCCCACAACGACTGCAGTACACTAGATTGTAAACTTCTTCTCACGCACTCGGAGCCTGCTATTATACTCACAACTCCCAGCCATGGCCTCCAGAGCATTGCTTCTCGTCTGCTTCACGCCCCTCGCAGCGTCGTCCACCTTGGCGCAGCCCGCTTGGCGGAGGGCCGCCCAGTGGTCACGGTTCGCCAGGGGGACCGCGCGGCGGACCGCGCGGCGGAGGTCTGGTGGGCGCGTCGGACCTGGCGGCGGACCTAATGGGGAGCCGCGCGGTCCTCCGCTGAACCTGACGGCCGTCGGCAATCTGACGGTGGACGTCGTCGCTCGGCTGAAGAACTGCTCTGCGGACCGACGTTCGTTGACGGCCGCTTCCACCTCACCGTCTTCAAATGAGTCTCGCCTCCACCCTGCCCCCCTCTCGTTCTTCTCGCGGAAAAGCCTACGAGGAACGAGAATCAGTCATGAGCCCGGCTTAAGCAATAGGCCGCAAAAGGGGCCCCCTCTTCCTCCCATTTTCACTCGTGGTACGATTCTCCCCGTTGCTTGACAGATTCCCATTTCTGTGCCTCCCACGCGCTCCTCCCCGCGCTGTCCCGCCCGCAGGAACGCGACGGGCAGTTACAACCTGCTCGTCGACGCGCTTCTCGTCGGAGGCGACGCCACGGCCGGCCCGCCCGACTCGCTCGCGATCGTGCAGAGCGCCGCGTGCGACTCGTCCGCGTCCGCCGCCGCCGTGCTCTCGCTGCCCCTCGCCGCCTCCGATTGGCTGCAGCGCGCCGGCTGGTGGTTGCTGCACGCGGAGGCGCGCCTCGACGCGTTCCTCGAGAGCGCCAACGCGCCCACCGTCGAGGCGCTCCTCGCGCTCCTCCCCAACGGCGGCGGCCGCGGTGGGCGCAGTGGCGAAGGCAGTTCCGGGGGCGCAGGGTGCGCGCGGAGCGGGCAGGGCAGCAGGCGCATGAGGCAGGGCGGGCATGGGGAGCATGGGGAGGATGCTCATACGCGCCATTGCGGAGGGTCACTACACAACGGGAGTGGACTACTGTAGAGGGCACGGAGTTGTGCAGGTGATCGTAACGTTGTTCTAACGTTCTTACTTCTTGCTTGTGTTCACAGAGAAGTTTGCAAGAGTTTCCACTAAGGAAGTTGACAAGAACAACTTGCAATGAAAAGTTGATAGTACAATTGAGGCATGCAGAACAAAAGGACTAGAAGGGCATGCAACACCTAGCAAGGGCGAAATCTTCCATCGCAGCAGAAGAGCGGCTTGCCAACATTGCAGCAGAGTGATCTGCCAACGTTGCACATTGAGCGGTCTGCCAGCACTGCAGTCGCAGGTGACTATCTGCAGTCGCAGGTAACTATATGTAGTCGCAGGTTGTCTATTTGCGCAGATGTGCACACCTACCAAGTAGGTGCAGGTTGACGGTTTCACCGTCAGGCACATTGCGCAGGTGCCAGGTAGAAAACTTGTCGTCGGTTTCACCAGGTGCGCACCGTCGACCTGCCGTTCCGCAGGTAGAACTTCGCCAAAACCTCCTGGGCGAAAGTTCGCACGCCTCTGCAGGGTTTCGCACAACTCTTCAACTTCGGTCGAAGGACTCGCCATCGCTCGGTCGAACAGGGTTCGCCGAGCAGAGCTCCTCGACCTGAACTCTTCGACCAGAGTTCCTCGACCCGAACTCTTCGACCAGCGCTCTTCGACGGGAGCTCGTCGCGCAGAGATCGTCGACCAGAGCTCGTCGCGCAGAGCTCGTCGACTAGATTCTATCGAGCAGAACCTGCTCGACCGCAACTTCCGTCGAACTGCAGAAGCTGACTTCTTCGACCAATCCGTCGAGAACTTCTCGTCGACGGCGAGATCGGCTGCGCCCAAGCGAGGGCGGGGCCTATCTCTTCGACAGCCATGGCCCGTGGCCCCGCCAAGCAGGGGGCACGCCGCAGCAGGGCGGGCAGCAGCAAGGCGCACAGCAGCAGGGCACACAGCAGCCGCATGCAGGTGGATATGCAGGTGAGGCGGGGCAACGGCGTGAACAGCAGGGTGAGCAGATATGCTGTGGTGGTGGGGAACAGCGTGTCGGGCGTCATCTGGGGTGGGCAGCTCCTGGGAGTCAAACTCCCCGCTGCTGCTGCTGCTGCTGCAGCGTGATGTGGAGGTGCTGGGTGGGAGTGGAGTGAAACAGTGAGATGGTGCTGCTGTGATGCCCTGAAGTGGGTAGTGTTCTAGTACGGTAGGTGATGCATCATGCTCCAGTGGGTACTGCACGTGCTAGATTGTGTAGTGAGCATGTGTGATGTAGTGAGCAATGAGTATCAGGGCAGGAATGCTGGTAAGCTGCAAGCAGCAATGACCTGCCTTGCCTTGCAAGCATTCCTGCCCGTGACAGCTCCTGTCCTTAGCCGTTTGCATCCCATGTTTGTGTGTTGGGGCTAATGAAAGGCCTTGATCTGGAATGAATAGAACCTCTTACCGTACCACGACCAGCGGTACTTCCAGGCCAGCCTGCCCTAGCATGTGCATCCTGCCCTAGCATGTGCATCCTGCCCTAGCATGTGCATCCTGCCCTAGCATGTGCATCCTGCCCTAGCATGTGCATCCTGAGCAGAGCACCGTCCTGCCACGTGGAGTGAATCAAATCCTGTGCTCACTGAATCCAGGTGACACGGCAATCCAAGGCTCGAGCCACTTCGGACTCTCATTGAGTCTCTATCTACCGGTCGGTAAGCAATCCACACCACACGTTCAAGTGAACCTCCATAAACACCCAGAGTCTCAATCAGTTGCACAAGCTACGGTAGTTGCAAAGTACATTCAATACGGTGTGCAAGACTTCAAGTTGGTACAGCAGTGCACACCCACAACTGAGCTCCAATCCAATCCACATCGTCAACACGTTAGCAAGACACACCAAATCGCCTCTCAACCTCAATGGTCCCCCCAGCCACTGCCGTAGCCCCGTCTCCCCCCGCCTGCCTTGTCATCATACCCTCGCGATCCTCCTCCCCCCCCATCCCCCCCATAGCCTCCCCCATAGCCTCCCCCATAGCTCCCCCCTCCCCCCCCATACCCACCGCCATCGCCACCATACCCCCCACCACCCCCACCATACCCACCCCCGCTGCTGCTCCTGCTGTACCCACCCCCGCCTCCGCTGTACCCGCCGCCGCCGCCGAAGCTGGAGGATCGGCCCTGGGGGCACTCGCGTGCGAAGTGCCCCTCCTCCCCACAGTTGTAGCACCCGCCTCCCCCGCCCCCCCGCCCCCCTCCGCCCCCCCTGCTGCCATACCCCCCTGAGCGCGAACCTGCGCCCCCGGGGGCATTGGGGCACTCGCGGGAGAAGTGACCCACCTGGGCAGGGGGGAGGGGAGGGGGAGGGGTGGTGGGGGTAGGAGGTAGAGGGAGGGAAAGGGGGGGGGGGGGGGGGGGAAGAGGGGGCGTGACAGTTGAGTGTTGAAGGGGGGCTGGGTTTAGGGCGCAATGGTTGGGAGCGCAAGAAGTGAGGGCACTCGGGGCGTGTGGTGCAGAGCGGTGATGCATGGCACGGGTGGGGCATACAGCCGGGGCGAGTAGCGTGGGTGGGGGCCATGGGTTGGGGCGAGGACGAGTGTGGGGGAGTGGGTGATGGGTGGAGAGCCGAATGCAGTGGTGGTGCCATGGCAAGGGGTAAGGGTACGGCATAAGTGGGCTGAGGCCACGCGACGAGAGCAGAGGGCGCAGCTGCAGGGGGGAAGAGAGAGCGCAGGCGCAGAGGGTGCCACAGCGCTCCAGTGAGTCTCAACATGCTTAAGAATTTGGCAGCACCAGTGAAAACAGGATAATAGCCAGCTCACAGCACCCCTCAGCTCACAGCACCCCTCAGCTCACAGCACCCCTCAGCTCACCTCGCCACAGTTGTAGCACGCGCCTCCGCCTCCGCCGCCTCCTCTCCGCCCTCCTCCCCCGCCCCACGCATCCCCATAGCTCCCCGCGCCCCCATGCTCCCCCCCCTGCCCCTCCCTCCCCCGCCTCCCCCCAAAGCCCCCCCCGTATGACTCCGGGGCAGCGTGCGCATGCCCCCCTCCCCCTGCTCCTCCCCCCGCCCCGCCCCGCTCCGCTCCGCGCCTGACCCCCCCTCCCCCTCCGGCTGATTGCTTCTCCAGCGCCATTTTCTGCGCGGCGAGAGGGGAGGGGGGTTCCGTGGAAAGCGAGGAGGCAAAGGAAAAGCGGACAGAGGGGCGGGGATGATGGGCGGGAGCGGAGAGAGGGGGGGAAGCGCAATGAGGAGCGCAGCGGCACGGGGCATGGCGGCGTGGTGATGCGGCGAGGTGAGTACTGCTTGTGGGCGGAGATAGAGGTGGGGGAAAGAAAACAAGGCAGTGGAGAGGGGAGGGGAGGGAGGGAGGAAGGAAGGGAAAAAGGGAGGGAGGAAAAGAAGGGAGGGAGGCAGGAGGTAGAGAGGGAGAGCGGGAGGGGAGAGAGGGAAGCAAGCGGGTGTCGCCGCAGATGGGGATGCCTCAAAATACCACCAAACCTCTCACCTCTCACTCCTCACGACGCGAGCGAGGGGGGGGGGAGGGAGTGAGGGAGGAGGGGAGAAAAGGGAGAGACGAGACCTCCAAAAGCGCCACACCTCGCACCTCCAACGAAGCAAGCAGCTCACCGCCACACCTCTGTTGGACTTGCTTTTAAGTACTCTCAAAAGCACCGCCACACCTCTCGCCTCTCGCCGCGCTCTCTCACCGCTCACTCACCTCGAACGACGCGAGCAGGTCGTGCAGCGTGGCCTCGCGCGCCTTCACCTCGCCCTCCAGCTCCGCGCGCCGCGCCTCATCGCCCGCCGGCGCGCGCGCCAGCTCGTCCCGCGCGAACGCCAGCTCCGCCTCCGCCGCCTTCTGCTCCTCCTTCTGCGCCTCCGACAGCACCACCTGGGGAAGGGCGAGCGGAGGGGGGAGGAACAGGGGAAAGGGGAGAAAGGCGGGGAAAGGTGGGGCGCGGGGAAGGGGAAGGGGTGTGGGTGCGGGTGAGTGGAGGGGTGAGGAGAGAGGTGCGGCATGGACCCCCCGGCAGAAGGGACGACGCGCTCCCCGAGCAACGCTCCTCCTCGCCGTCTCGCTCTCATTCCCCCTCTTTTCAACGCTGTACCCCATATCTTCCTTTCCCGTCCACTTTCCGTCACTCCCTCATCCCCCCGTGCTCGACGTAACAAGATTTTTCAAGGTTCGTTTTCTTAGACCGTGACTTGCATCGGTAGGGAACTTGTGTGAAACGAGCAAACCGAGCCTCATATAAAACTGCAACTCCTACGAGTATTGGATCACGTCGAGCTATAACTAGTCCGTCAGCATGCGCGCGCTCACTGCGGGGCGCAAACTAGCCTCCGAGCGCCTCAAGACGCGACTCAGCGTGGGGCGAATCAAGACGCAACTCAGCGTGGGGCGAATCAAGACGCAACTCAGCGTGGGGCGAATCAAGACGCGACTCAGCGTGGGGCGAATCAAGACGCGACTCAGCGTGGGGCGAATCAAGACGCAACTCAGCGTGGGGCAAATCAAGACGCAACTCAGCGTGGGGCGAATCAAGACGCGACTCACCGTGGGGCGAATCAAGACGCAACTCAGCGTGGGGCGAATCAAGACGCGACTCAGCGTGGGGCGAATCAAGACGCAACTCAGCGTGGGGCGAATCAAGACGCGACTCAGCGTGGGGCGAATCAAGACGCAACTCAGCGTGGGGCGAATCAAGACGCGACTCAGCGTGGGGCGAATCAAGACGCGACTCACCGTGGGGCGAATCAAGACGCGACTCACCGTGGGCCGAATCAAGACGCGACTCACCGTGGGGCGAATCAAGACGCGACTCACCGTGGGGCGCCACTCTTTGGACGCGAGCTCGCGCAGCAGGTCCGCCTCCGTGACGCCCTTGCGCTCCGCTATCACCTGCTCGCGCGGCCGCGCCGCCCCGAACGGATTCGGCTGCCGCACGCGCGGGGAGGAGCACGGGGAAGAGGAGGGGGGAAGGGGGGAGGGGGAACACAGGAAGCATACGGTGGGGAGGCCGCGGAGAGATGGAAGGGGGCAACGACGAATAGGCGACGGCGAGACGGATGTCGATGGTGAGCGGAAAATTAACGGCGACGGATGAAGGAAGAAAGGCGACCGCAGCCCGCGGAGAGACTGCTACGGGGAGAGCGCGCGGGCGAGAGGGAGAAGGCGGGAGCGAGAAGGCGGGAGCGAGAAGGCGGGAGCGAGAAGGCGGGAGCGAGTGGGCGAGAGCGGGAGCGAGGGGTCACCTTAGAAGGGCGTGCCGCGGCGGTGGCCCCGGGCGACGACAGCGCGTGCGAAGAGGACGACGCGGTCGACGGCGGCTGCACGCTCACGCCGGGCCGCTCCGTGCCGCTGACGTCAGCGCCATCCCTGCCTGCCTGCCCTGCCATATCCCCGTGGGAAACTTCCCTCGCTAACCGACAGAACCCTTCGAATCAACGAGATGGATAGTCTAAATATGTTGGTTAAAAGGAAACTAGGAAGCAAAACTGCGTTCGAACAGAAGTCAAGCTAACGGAAAGGAAAGGAAACCTTGGAAGAGAGGAAAGCAGTGAGGACTTTCGCTGGAATTGCGTGGGCCAGTCGTACATTTACAGTTCAAGCTTCGTGGCTCAGGACGATGATACACGGTGGAAAGCGGTTTCCGAGGTTTACCGTTTCGCACCGCGACGCAACGAATTGGACCGCAGAGAAGGTACAAGAGACATACGACCTGACCACGCCCAGGAGGAGTTGAGGTCGAGGCTCAAGAGAGCCCCCTCTGAGTCCAGTCGGGGATGTGAGACTCGAATTCCGAGACTCGGAAAAAATCACCAATCTCGATACGCACGCTGCACGCATGCTGGGTTGGGGTTGGCTGAGCTTTTCGCAGGTCCGCGGGGACACGCTGCCACCGCGAGCCGTTTTAGCCACGCTGGCTGAAGTTCGTAGCGTGGTTGATTAGAAAAATCTGCTGACGCGGACAGTTGCCCTGCTGGAAGGGAGTAGATCTAGGGTCCCACCCACCCACCCACCCACCCACAACAAATATCTGGAGGAGAACATGGTAAATTATTTTCACAAGCAAACCTAGATATTTTTTAAGTTAGGTTTTTTGCACTTGAAGGTATAACTTTTGCTCGTTGCCAGCTTCGTGTTACGAGTGCAATTGAGTGAACGAACGAGAATTTTAGTATCGAAGCAAGAGTACAATGAGTGAAGGCATGAGCGAAGAATATATAGCGAAGCTATAGTGGTAACGGTAATGTGTGGAAAATGGGGTGCGCGACAGGCCTAGCGCCGAGGTTGGGAAAATGTCGAGGCGGAGGTCCGGAGCGCGGGTTACCAACCGAACCGTGAGGTTGGGTCGCGTCGTGAACAGTGGCGGGAACAATGTCGAGGCGAGTGTCGCGAGTGGTAACGGATTCCTGTTGGGTGCTGTTGGCGGGAACAGTGGTGTACGCGCTGAGCAGGGACGCGAAGTAAGGAAAAGGAATTTTCCTTACACTACCCCCCCCCCCCCCCCCCCCCCCCCCCCCCCCCTAAGGAGGCCCTCCTTACGAAAGCGCGTGTACGTCCCGAAAACTTCGGCTGCGCAGATACTCGGTGAGGACGGGGTGGTTTTCAATTCTGTCCAGGGGGACCCAGTTGTCCTCGGTGGGCGTACGGTCTCTCCAGCGGATTAGAAACTCGATCCTTTGAGCTCCCCGTGGGTCACGAACTCGGTGGCTCAGAATCTTCTCGGGCGTGATGATTGGCTCGGTCGGCGGTCGTGTCATGCTGGCTGGGCGATTGCGAGGCAGTTGGCTTGTGGATGGTATGTAAGGGCGAAGCAGGCTGACGTGGAAGGACGGGTTGACGTACCAGTCAGCAGGTAGGAGGAGGTGGGCGGTGACGGGTGTGATCATGTGGCTGATGCGAAATGGCCCGCAATATCTGGGGCGGAGTTTTGGGGTGATGGGCAGGCGGAGGTTCTGGGTGTCGAGTAGAACGAGGTCGTCGGGCTGGTAAGTGACGGGTCGGCGGTGGCGGTCAGCGTTGCGTTTAGCGATGATGTTTGATTTTTTAATTGCGTCTGCTGCTCGGGTCCGTGCTGCGTGTAAAATTACGGCGAACTGTTGCGCTCGTGGCACCGGGTTGTCGAGATTTGGGGTCACGGGTACTGCGAGGTCTTGTCCGTAGTTCAGGTAAAACGGTGACTGTTGGGTCGTGGCGGATGGTGAGTTGTTGTATGCGAATTCGATGAGTGGCAGCTGATGTTCCCATGTGGTCGGGTCGTCGCACGTGGCTCGGATGAGTTGCTCCATGGTCTGGTTTGTCCTTTCTGTATGTCCGTCGGTCTCGGGGTGGTACGAGGAACTAAACTGTAGTCGCGTGCCAAACTGCTGCCACAGGTTCCGCCAGAAGTTGCTGGTGAATCTCGTGTCACGATCGCTGATGATCGCTGCTAGTATCCCGTGCAGTCGAACGACGGCGGAGATGAAGAGGCGGGCTGTTTCTTCGGCTGTGATCGATTTCTTGCAGGCTGCGAAATGTGCCATTTTCGTCAGCCGATCGACGACGACCAGGATCGCGTCGTTTCCACTTGCTCCGGCCGGTAACCCCGTGACGAAGTCCATCGTCACCTGCTGTCAAGCACGCTCTGGGGGTGGTATCGGCTGCAACTGTCCTGCCGGCCGCTTCCGTGATGATTTCATGAGCTGGCAGGTGGGACATGATGCCACGTGTCGCTGCACGTCGGTCAGCATTTCGGGCCAGTAATAATGCCGCAGCAGCTGCTGCCGTGTTTTTTCTACTCCGAAGTGGCCTGAGGTAACTCCGTCATGTGCCTCCTGTAGCAGTAATTCCCATAATAGTGTGTATCCTGGTACCCAGATGCGGTCGGTGCCGGCTTTTACGTAATAGACTCCCTTTGCTGCTGCGAACCGCTGCGAATTTCCTCCTGTGAAGAATGGATCCGTTTGGTACCCGTGGGTAAATAGTCCTGTCATTAGTGGGCTGGTCTGGGCAAGTAGTATCGCGTGGATCTGGGCAGTGAGGCGGGTCAGTGCGTCGGCTATGTTCGATGCCCCCTTTTTGTAGGTGACTGTGTAGTGGAAAGTTGACTCGAGGAAATCGAGCCAGCGAATCTGTCGTGGGTTTAGGTGGGGCTGTGCGCGGAGGTACTGTAGCGATTTATGGTTTGTTTGTATTGTCACATCTGCACCGGTCAAGTAGCAGCGCCACACTTTAAATGCATGCACGATCGCGAGCATTTCGCGGTCGTGTATCGGGTAATTCTTATCGGGCGGATGCAGTTTTCGTGATTCGTAAGCGATGGGCTGTAGGCCGTTGCTGAAATCCTGTAGCAGTACGGCTCCGATGGCGATGTCGCTTGCGTCTTTAACTACTTCGAATGGGCGGTGTGGGTCGGCGATGCGCAGTACGGGCGGTGAACAGAGAACATTTTTCAGGGCAGAGAAGGCAGCATGCTCCTTCTCCCCCCACGTAAAAGCGACCCCCTTTCTCAGTAAGTCTGTTAGTGGTGCCGTTAACCGCGCCATGTCGAGGACGAACCGACGCACAAAGTTCACGAACCCCAAAAAACTCTGTAGTTCCGTGATATTCGTCGGGGGGTGCCACGCTTTTACCGTGTCCAGCTTCTTCGGCTCAATTTCAACCCTAGCCTTTGAAATAACATGCCCTAAAAACTCTAGCCTGTCCTGAAAAAACTCGCACTTGGAACCCTTGGTAAGTAGCCGGTGCTCGTCTAAGATTTTAAATATTGCTTCCAGATCTGCTAGGTGCCACGCTTTTACCGTGTCCAGCTTCTTCGGCTCAATTTTAACCCTAGCCTCCGAAATAACGTGCCCTAAAAACTCTAGCCTGTCCTAAAAAACTCGCACTTGGAACCCTTGGCAAGTAGCCAGTGCTCGTCTAAGATTTTAAATATTGCTTCCAGATCTGCTAAGTGCTGCTGCTTATCGCGACTGTAGACGAGGATGTCGTCGAGGTAAACTATCACGCATTTATCTAAAAGTGGCCTAAACGCCTCGTTCATGGTCATCTGAAATGTCGCTGGTGCGTTGGTCAGCCCGAAGGGCATCATGGTGTACTCGAATGACCCGTACCTAGTCCTAGAAGCCGTCTTGGCGCAGTCCGATGGTTCGACTCGAATTTGATGGTAACAGTCAACATATATTTTATATGTGTTGTTTAGGTTAGTCTAGGTGTTACATTTCTACTTACTTGCATGATTAGGGTTTGCTATATTTAGGGTTGTACTTCACATTTTCTATCAATTCATTCTTATCGTGACATGGTATCAGAGCTAGGTTTCCCTTAGGCGATTTTTCCCCTAGGCGATTTTTTCCCTTAGGCGAAATTTCTCTCGATAGTCTATGGGCCCACCACCCGCGCGCCTCATAGCGACCCATAGCCCGAAGTGCCCTGCCCCGTAGAGCCCGAGTAGGTCGCGCCCCCCGTCGACATCGCGCGTCACCCGTTTCTGCCCTGCGCCCCACCCGTTTTTTTGCCGAGCGTCACTCGGTTTTTAGCCCCGCGCCCCACTCGTTTTACCTCGCGTGTTGCCCCCCAGTCCTCTAGCGCGCAGCAGACGAACGCACGTAGCTGCGCGCGCAGCCTTAGTCGCACCCGCAGCTCCGCGCTAGTACGTCGTAGCCGCGCGCACGTGCAGCCCACCGTCGTAACCGGGCCCCAGACCTGAAATCCCCCTCAGAACCGCACAGAACCGCCGCCTTAACAGCTTCCCCACCTGACAACCGCCGCCCCACCTGGAAACCTGCTGCCCCACCCGTTCCAGGCACCTCACCCGGGATCAGCCGCCCCACCCAGTCCTCTCCACCGCATTGAACCGCACAGAACTGCACATAACTGCACAGAACCGCACAGAACCGCCGCCTTAACAGCTTCCCCACCTCAAAACCACCGCCCCAGACCTGACAACCGCCGCCCCACCTGGAAACCTGCTGCCCCACCCGTTCCAGGCACCTCACCCGGAATCAGCTGCCCCGCCCAGTCCTCTCCACCGCATTGAACCTCACAGAACCGCACAGTACTGCACATAACCGCACAGAACTGCACAGATCCGCCGCCTCACCCGTAGCCCGCTGCCTTAACAGCTTCCCCACCTGAAACCTGCCTCCCCACGATCTACCACACCCGCCGTCAGTAGCCCCAGCCGATTACACTGCCGCCAGCTACACCAGCAGCAGCATAGGCTGCCCCCAGCGCACCAGCAGCAACGTAGGCTGCCCCCAGCAGAACCAGCAGAACCAGCAGAACCAGCAGAACCAGCAGAACCAGCAGAACCAGCAGCAGCATAGGCTGCCGCCAGCACACTAGCAGCAGCATAGGCTGCCCCCAGCGCACCAGCAGCAGCGTAGGCTGCCCCCAGCAGAACCAGAAGCGG